TCGTACGTGCCGGCTTTTTCGAGGGTGCGCGCGACGATGGGGACGGTGGAGTTGACGGGGTTGGAGATGACGAGGATGTGTGCTTTGGGGGCGTTCCGCGCGATGGCGGCGGCGAGGTCACGGACGATCGAGGCGTTGGTCTGTGGGCATTATGGGGGTGAGTCAATGCGGGTGTGTAAGGACATTGGTGCTTACGTTGAAGAGGTCATCGCGCGTCATCTGCGGGCGTGTTAGAACAGGAAAGATGACATGACGTAGGACTTACACCGGGCTGGGAGGAGAGTGAGCATGAAGTTTATTCGAGAGTGCGTCGATACATACCTTCCTGGGGACACCAGCGGGGATAACGACGACTTCGACACCCTGTAGCGCCTCGTCGAGCTTGTCAGCAGCATAGCCCGTAACCTGCAAGCAAAAATTAACATCTGCATCCCATGAATCTCCAGCACACGCACCTCGCCCGCAGAGTCAATATGGCCAACATCGGCGGCAACACCAGGGGCGCCACGGATATCGTAGAGGCTCAAGTTGCTAACGAGGGGCTCGGACTTGAGGAGCAGCGAAAGGGGCTGACCGATGCCTCCTCCAGCGCCGAGGACAGCAACCTTGGTGTGTCTAGCGGGGGTCGTGGAGAATGCGCGGGAGGCGCGGGCTGCGCGGAGGGCGGTGCGGGAGAACATGCTGTGTGGTGGGAGAGTATGTGTGAGGTGTCGAGTCGACGCGATGGGACTTTTTCTAGCGCGACCGGACGGATGACGGCCGTCCGAACTTCGGCGCACACCGCCGCTGACGTAAAAGAAGCGAGGCTTTTCACCGACACGGATATGCGTGGAGGGCAACTCGTTGGTAACGTGGCCGAGCGGTCCAAGGCGCTAGTTTCAGGTTTTGCTTTGGTGACCCCCATTTACTAGTCTCGCAAGAGGCGTGAGTTCGAATCTCACCGTTGCCAGCCTTTTGGCTTTCTTTTACAGACGCGGGATGGAACGACATGGGAGTGACGCGAAATGGCGACAGCATTCCACGAATGTTTCATCAGCGATGTTTATCCGAAGCACAGCACGTTGGATTCGAAGGCGCGACCTCCCACCTTCTACGACAATGAATATGCGCCGAGAAGGGTAAGAGTATACCATAATCATAACCATAACTCACATCTATCTCTTGGCAAGTTCAAAGTCATTCAGTTCAGGTCGAATCGACCTCGCATTAGGGCCCAAATGAATACAATTATAATTATAATTTCCGACAACTACAGCAAAGCAAACAACTAACACCCGCGCGAAGAAAACGAAGGGGATGTGCGGAATCCAAAGCAACATCACAACCTTACAAAAACTCCACAAAATACAAAAAGGGAAATAACAGACACCGCGCAAATTGAACGAACAGTGGATGGTGGCAGAATCCGGCGTTATGGTAGGGGAATAGCAATCCAACCATCGCGTCACAGCGTAAGCCACCATCCTATACTCACCAAAAACAAATCGAAAAAACACACTCAGCTCATGCAATAACGCACGAAACGGTGCCTCCGCTGTCTGGCTTGGGGTCGGTACTGGTGGAGACGCGCGGCTTCTCCGTCTTGCCGGATGGGATGGTGTAGAAGAAATCCATCTGTAAAGGGGTGTTGAGAAGTGGATTGGATGTGGGCTGGGCTGGTAGGCTGGGGAGTTGGAGAGGAACTTATGAGGCTTTCATGAAGTGTAACTTCCGGCGCAAAAGTCTTTTGATTGACGAAATGGGATTCAGAGAATGTCTCGGTATGATTAATATTGATGAATGCATATGGTGAGTAGCGATTACTTTGTTTGGAATCTCCTTTGGACTGGATTCATCGAGAAATGCGAGATGCGACGCAGGCCTCAGGGTGTTTATCTCATTATCATACCATGTCGCCGTTGCATTCCAAAGTATTTCCTTTCGATGATGCGGTGGTGAACTGCCCTCATGATGTCAGGCTTTACGGTGTCACGAGGACGCTGGGCAATAGGGTAATTCAGATTGTTGCCCGGGGGGAGGAGGAGAATGGGTCTTGAGGGCAGCGGTGAGCCAGCTTACCTCTGTGAAATTCCTTTTCAAAGTTCTATGTAGTGGTGAACCGTTCTGCCAGAATTTAGGCCGTAATGAGAATGCTCAGGCTGTGCAATTCAGCTCGTTGGACGAGGTAGGACGACCATGGTTCCTGGGGATAGCCGTGATTGAGCTTATCTGTGGAAGTTTGGAATTTCCGTTCAAGGCTCGATGCAGTGGGGAAATAACTATGGCTGGAATTACCAATGGGACTCGTAGGAAGAGCAGTCCACTGGCGGAAGACAATGCCCTTGAAGGCTGCAGGCAGCGGAAAGGATTGTCCATTAATATTGGCATCCGTCGTCTACTAAGTCCAACTCCGGCTTCATTGCACTGAGTCAGGCTGTCTCATTTTTTAAATGCATGAATATACCGTCAATGCTCATGCCGCGCTAATCATTGTTTTAGTTTATTACTCCCAGACGACATTGAAATTTGACAAGACACGAGAAAGTTCGCTCAAGAGCCCCAATATTGACCATGGACTCTTCCGATGAAATACAAGCATTCAATATCCAATCGCCCAGAAATTCGAGTCTTGAGGTATCAATCGAAATTGTAAGTACTAAAAACAACGCCAACTTACATAGCCATGATATTTGGTCTCCGAACCCTGCCTCCCATCCCATTCAACAACGTCCTTTGTCGTACAAATTAAGAAAAAAATGAAAATTGGATCCAGTTGTAAGGGGTCCGAGTCACGGTGGCCGCGTTGTCTCGGTATGATATTTCCGCCGATGATCACGCTTGGAGTCCCACTGGCGATAAAGAATCAGGTGTCCGATTTAGTCTGTTGCAGGAGGACAATGGCTTAATAATTCTGGAGCCTAACGACAGCGAACAACCAATCAACCAATCACTCAATCCCCCAAACAATTCCAGCCTGAAGAATCTACAATGCGCAGACTCTCCTTGGGGCCGACGACTCGGAAATCGCTCCAACAATATTTGCAATCAATCAATCTATGCCCCCAAAATCGCAATCTATAGGTATCAGTCGTACTTTTAAGTGATTAAAGATAACGCAAATCGTCATGATCCTTATGTTGTTATAGGTCTTAACTTGGACCCTACCTCACATCACTCCTTTTGATTGTCAAATCAAACTAAAAACGGGATACAGGCCCAGCCGTAGGAGGTCACGGGGGTTGCTGTTCTCTCGGTATAATATTTCTGCCCGGGTGGTCACTGGTGAACATCGATGGAGTGCCAGTGGCGAATAAGGTGTCTTATTTAGTCTGTTGCAGGACGACAGTGGCGTAATAATTCTGGTGCGTGGGGGCAGTGGATTCAGAAGGGAGCGCTTCATCATTCTTCTCCTTTTGAGTCTTCTCTGACATCCGTCGTCTTTGGGCCATATTTGCACTGCCAGGGTCTCATGCACTGCTAGATTCAAGTTCTTTAAACAAACGACTCTGACTCCGCTGATACGCTTCCCATTTAGATTTTTTATTTTTATTTTTATTTTTCCAGACATCATGCATCATGGTGTAGATACTGTGCAACGTAACGGTATTATCGGGAATATTCCCGCAGTCCTCAAATAGTTCCACAAAAATCCTCAGGTGCCAAAAGGTTCGAAAGGCCTATTTGAGAGAAGCCTGAGCAACTCAAAATCTCTAGGTATCAGTCGAATTTCAATAAATAACAAAAAGCTTCTTTCCTTTAGGCCTCTACAGCGCCCTCATTCAACAACCCCTTTTGACTGACAAATTGAGAGGAGAAAATCGACATCATAATCCAGACGTAAGGGGTGCCGCGTCGCTGTTGTCTCGGTATAATATTTCTGCTGGGGACAGTGGAAGACACGAGGCACGAGGAGCGCGATTGAGCTTCATCACGACATTGTTCTCCTTTCTGAATCACCTGGCCTCTGTGACCGTCTCGCTCTTTAAATAAATAAACCGTTAATATACTAATTACCATTGCAAGTCAGCCTGACTGCCGATAAATATTGTTCAAAGATGATAACCTGTACGAGAAAAATGATAGTACTCCTCGGCGAAATGTCTCCACAAACAGATCTGCAGAAAATTTCCAGGTATATCGAATCTATAGGTCTATAGGAATTTCCAAACAAACCGCCTGGTCCTTGATCACGCCACTGCCATTTGGGTCTCCCAACCCTGCATCCAAGTCGCCGAGGGGAGAGTCTCACTTGTAATTTGCCTGTGGATCTTTTGTATTCCAAAGATGGAACACGCCTCCTGACAAGTGATGGAAAGGCTCAGCACGATGCCAAGCCCGGGAAACGAGGACAAGCATGGGTCGAGAACATATGTTCATGTGTTAACTAACGGCTTCCAGGCTTCAAGCATCAAGTCGGACTCGTCGTTCAATCGAGCCAAATTATGAGCCAAATAGTATGATTATAATCTTCAATAAATGAGTGATACATGACTGGAGTTAAACAACACCGTGTACAACAAACAACAAACAACATGGTAATACCGAAAAAATGGAATAATAAAGGATAACCGCGCCAAAAACGAAAACGAAGGGTGCACAGTATCCGGTGTTATAATATAATATACGTGATGCTAACGTTACGAACACAAGTAAGTATGGGGCCCGAAGATAAGTAATAACGTACTTACTGAACTTGTCTGTCCAGCTCAGTGGCACTCAGCTCATGCAACAACGCACGAAACGCCGCCTCCGTTCACTGGGTCGGGGTCGGTACCGGTGGGAACCTGCGGCTTCTCCGTCTTGCCGGAAACGATGGGGGCGATGATGGTGTAGAAGAAATCCATTTGGAGAGTAAGTTTAAAGGGGGTTAGAAGGCGAAGAAGAATGTCAGGGTGGTGGGCTGGGGAAATGGAGAGGAATTTATGAGGCTTTATAGCCTGCAATCCTGCGAAGCTATTTTGATTGACGAAACGGGATTCAGAGGGGGGTGTCTCGGTATGATTAGGATTCCTGATGAGTGGCCAATTGTATTCCTTCTTTTGGAAGGCCCTTTGGACTAGATTAAGGGAAGAATGTGAGAGACAAGGTTAGGTGTCTCATTATCATGTCGGGTAAGCGTTGCAGTCCAATCATTTCCTTTTTGATGCAGTGGTGAGCTACTAAGGATGTCATACTTTACTAGGTCACTGGTCGCGAGAACGCTGTGCAATTCAGTTTGTTGGACGGGGGGGCACAATGGTTCCTGAACGTAATAGTATCGTCCGAACAAATACATTTACCAGTTTTTCCACAACTTCCGCAAATGACAGATATCCTGAGTCTGTCAATAGACTAGTCATCAAAACGCGTAAAGGCAGCGTATTTTGAATAAGAGGTCATGGTGGAGACTCAGGCTGAGCATATTTGTAGGTTTTTATGGAGATCTCAGGTTTGTAGTACTAAGGACCGTGCCATTGATGATTGTTCATCAGGATGTCTATCATACACTAGTGCTGCTGCCGATATTGAACACATCGATTCTGAGCATTGCTACCATTTCAGGGCTTGCTTTTTCGACGGTCTGGTTCAGCGTGACGTTGGAGCCAGTCTGTCGGATCTCCGTGTCACGTAGTCACACATCGCCTTTGCCATCGTTGCGGGTTTCATGCCATTCAGCTGCGACTCTCAGTGCTCTTCTCCGTTACTTCTCGGCCTTGCCCCAACGTAAAGAGATTAATCATTTTTTTTACTTTGCAGGTCAACGACTATGCTGCTGACAGCCCAGCCTCATCCGCCTTAACCTTCCTCGCACACCTCCTCGACATCCCACAGACCAACGCCTCGATCGTCCGCAACCTCGTTGCCGCGATCGTACGGAACGTCCCGAAGACACACATCCTCGCCATCTCCAATCTCCTCGGCTCCATCGTCACACCCTCGAGAAAGCCGGCAGCTACCCCGCCCGTCTCTTCGGCATCACAACACTCGACG